TGGCAGCTGGCAAGAGAAGTAAAATAAAAAAGTTATTATCTATCTATCTATGGTTCACGTCCTTTAACCGCATAAAAATGCTTCGCACTTTGGAGCCGTGGAAGCAGTATAAGAGTGAGGGTGAAATCCTGCTATTCAATTAGAGTAGCTCAAGAGTTGACAATGAGTGCTGTTGATTAATTGTCTTCCCTCGAGTCTCTCAGTTCAAAATAAGGAAGGTGTAACGCCGCTAGATTTTTTGTAGTTTTCTGTGGATGTTCGAAACAAACAATTGATGCAGTTTGTAAACGTTTAGGTTCAATTACAACCCAGAATTAGGTAATAGTTAAATTTTGGACATTAACAACATTGCCCTACTACTAAATTACCATCGTAAGTTATTGCCATGGCAACTTGATACTGGTAATAACATGTTAAAATAAGCACTGATCAAGATAATGAACCAGCTCAATATTATCTACTCAATGCACAAGCTGAAAGCTATTTCACACAATGCATTTGAACTGTAAGTTAGAATGAAGCAGTTTTAAAAATGTGACCTATTTAAACATGCTTCTCTGTCTGTTATCATGAACTTTCAAATAAACGAATTCACTTTTCTGTAATTACAACACAATTAGATCAAATTTGAATTATCACGTAAAACTTAGAGATATGTATGTATATACATATAACATCACCATTTGAAAAAAATTTCAATACCACTAAATACTTTGAATAACCAGCAGTACAACTGATAAAGAGGTATGTGGATTATGTCCCAATTTGGGCGACCTCAAAGGGTGTGGCGGCTGACCCAACAACGGTCACCCGAGTTCTAATGGGTGTGTCATGTAGTGGTTTATTTAAAAGTGTTTAATCTTTTTGATTTATGTTTTTAAATAATGAGCCTGTATTAGCTCTTGCTACCCATAAATGACGGTTTATCTCAAAATTTCAAATGCTTGTTTAAAATAACGCATTAAACAAGTTTTTATTCGAACAATTGACATAAAACTTACATTATTAATTAATGGGGCAAGACTGTCATATGAATAGATCATGAAACACCCACAATATTAGCGAAAGTATGCTTACAATACGTTGGGCTTACTTTGCATTTACTGCTGGTCGTAAATACGCATTGTATTAGTTGTGTGCAAAGTATACATATATCATGTTAGATGTTTTATTTTTTTACATTCACTTAGGTGAGTGAAAATGTTATATATGTTTTTACCTTGCGCAAAGTTTGCATTCAAGATTTTAGACCCACGTTATACTTATTAATGTGGTTAAAGTTATTCACTCTACAGTTTTGACTGTTTTCATATTTTATAACAACTTACATCATTGTTATTAAGCTGGAATACAAAGGTTCTATATACATCATGAGCGATTTATTAGAACAGCAAACAATTTTATCAGACACCTGTCGAAAGATGCGTAATTCAGTATTTCACCTATCACAACACAAAACCTTACCAATATATACATAATAACAAAATGTAACATAAAATTATCATAAATAGCGTCTGTAACCTTATATCAGTTCATATTAAACATCCAGTACTTGGTTGGTCCTCCTTGTACTCTAATAACCTTCGCAAGGCGACGTGGCATGCTGTCAATGAAATTATTGATGTAATTCACCGTGATTTCATCCCAACTTGACATTAGAAGACGCTGCAACTCAGCTACAAAACCTGGTTTAGGGTTTTCAATAAAATCACAATCTGGAGACTTTGCTGGTTGTAACAATCTTGAAACGTCCTCCTGGTCGAGATAATCCTATACAATAAGTGCACTTTGGGCAGTGAAATTGTCATCATGGAAAACAAAGTTATTGCGAAACCTTGCCCTAGCATATGGCAGAAATATCGACTCCACGTAATGCCTTTAGGAGGCGCCATTGACGTTTCCCTGGAGAATATGAAGAGCAGTTTTCCACCTTGATGAATAGCTGCTCAAACATGTACCGCACCACCTCTTGTGGGAAAGACAGTCATACATCATCTGTTCTCCAGGCAAACGACGAACACGAATCTTACCATCAGCTTTAACAAGCCGGATACAAGACTCATCTGAAAAGATATGTCACCAGTGTCCTAACTGTAAGTTGCATGCTGTCTTGCTCGAGTAACACGATGAGGCGGGGAATTCTGGTTAATATCGGTTTACAGATAGCCCTTCTTGCAAAATAACCTCGTTTGGTCGGTCTCCTATTCACTATTCTTCTGGATACTCTGGAATGAATGCGTTCATTCCATTCCTTACTTTTATAACGCACCCATGACCTCATAGTGCGGGGCGCATTTCCATGGCACGGGATATGAATAATGGACCCTCAGATTCACAGTCCGGCACGTTAACCACTAGGCTATGTCCGTCCTACTTACTCATAAGTAATAGGAATATGGTTGTGCATTTCGATCTTTATATTATTATCATATGTTTCACGTTTTGATCCAAAAAATAGTCTTTCTTTGAGGTAACATAATCGACTTTTGTCAAAATTGCTTCGCCTTTTTTTATCATTCATACTTATAGGCTTAGACAGTTTTAGTGTGAGTATTTGCTTTTTACTGTAGGCAATTTTTTATGTAAGGCATAGTAAGATTCTGGTTACCCTCACACGTTACTAGGGGGAGATATACAGAAAAGTTGTATCACCCAAGCTATATTTCAAAACTTTTTCCGATGCCACCTTTATGTTTTTTGTAATAGACCAGGCGTGGCTTAGTGGTAGCATGTCAGGCTGCGCATCGAGGGCCAAATGTTAGCGACGATATACCGCTAAACATACTCGTCAGTTTCAGCCAAGAGTTTTATAAATGTTACAGTCAGAGGACAGGGCAGAGCCCCCTCTGATTGAAGTCAGAACCACTAATTTTGAACTAACCAGAAAATCCTGTTTTGGATTAGTTGTTGTTAAGTGCAAAGCTACACAGTGAGATTCCTGTGTTGTGTTCGCCACGGAAGTCAAAACCAGGTTTCAGACATTATAAGCCTTAAGATTTACCCGTGGTCCAAAAAAAATAACAGATAAAATATTGAAACCTTATTTAATATTGAATTCACCTAAATAATTTCCACAATATATATATAGTTTGTTTTTGCTCTATCGAGTAAAATATTCATGGAGAGTATATTAACCAAAATACCTCACTGCTCCTGTCACGAAATACTTGTCTTTCAGTACAGTGCACAGTTTCGAAACACTAGAAATCCACGAAGCGATTGTAACTAAACACTACATATGAATTCAGAATTGGAAATTTCAGTATGAATAACTCACAATTGTAATTTAAAAAAATGATAAAGGATAACAATAATGAAGAAAGAACATTTCTTACTGTTCCAACAAATTCTAGTATTAGTACAAAGCAGCTAATTATCAAATCTCTACACTTGCATTTACAGAATGTCATTATGTACGAGTTCTTGCCAGCCTTGATAGGAGAAGAAGTGACGGAGTATACAGGTGACAATCGTTGGTTTTATTTATTTATTATTATTTTGTTCATATTATTGGATTTGGTGTGACCATTACAAAATAACGAGAACAAGAAATTATTTTAGTGTTATTGAGTGCATAAAGATCTTGATGTACTTGTAGCATTATCATTTCTTAACTAAAATATATATAATTAAGTACCACGAATTAGTAGTAAACTCATAAAAGATTGATTTAATTTACTTGCAATTGTTTTGGAAAGTAATGTGAATAAAAGTAGAAACGCTGAAATGAATTAATTTTTATATATTTCTGAAAGAACTAACAATTTTACCGAAATAATTGACCAATTATGAACATCGGGATTTGTTTGAATAGTTCCGAAGATTACCTATCTTGTAAATAAGTAAATGTATCATACTTCGTTCAAACATGTCTTCACACTAAGTACGTGAGTGATTATTAAAAAC